CTATATCTAAAATAAAGGAAATATAAAATAATTTTAAAAATTAAAAGAACTGAAAACAGGGTTTCAAAGAGCTATTTGCACATGCATGTTCATAGCAGCACTATTCACAATAGCCAAGAGGTGAATGTAATCCAAATGTCCATCAATGGATAAATAAATACAATGTGGCATATATATACAATGGAATACTATGCAATTATAATAAGGAAGGAAATCTTGTCACATGCTAGAACATGGATGAACCTTGAAGATATTATGCTAAGTGAAAGAAGCCAGTTACAAAAAGACAAGTAGTGTGTGATTCCACTTAGTTGAAGTATCCAAAGTTGATACTTTATATATAGAAAGTAGAATAGTGGTTACCAGGAGCTGAGGAAAGGGGCAAAGGGGAGTTGCTTAATTAGTTTCAGATCTGCAAGATGGAAAAGTTCTAGTGATCTGTCTCACAACAATGTAAATATATTTAATACTACTAACCTGTACACTTAAAAGTGCTTAAGATAGTAAATGTTATATGTTTTTTTTTAATCACACTAAAGAAAATCTTAAATAAAAATAAGAAAAATATATAAAGAAGTCTAAATCATCTGTTTGCTAAATAGAGAAAGAGAAAAGAAATGAATGGGGAGTATGTATTTTCCTTTAGTGTAAGTGGGTATGTTTTCATTTCTGGTGCAGTGTACAAATGCCGGTTCCACAGAGAGAGAACAAAGGGTTAAAACCTTGCACATGAGGCCCAGAGCTTTCTAAAATCCAAATTAGACACTAAAATTCATCATAAAAGCCAAAGTGTTGGATCCTCTACCTTCAGAATCTCATCACCCACATTCTCAGAAAAAGGAAGAATCCTGCTCACAGTAAGGACTGATTCCACTCCAGGGAATCAACAAGAATATCTAGGTTGTGGCAGTTCGGGTTCTTGATGCAAATAACTGAAACAGATACCAGCAATTTCGGGGGAAAGGAATTATGGAGCTAACATAGGGAGCTGACAAGACTCCACGATAAAACTAGAGGACCAGTTTAGAAAACAGAAGGAATTTTCCTGTCTGAGTAGCCAAGAATACACTCATGACACATCGCAGATCAACTGCATAAGGACACCAGCCATAGCTATGGTTGGCCCCAGCACCCCTGGACATTCACTGCCACAAACAACCTCCAACATTCACTGCCACAAACAATCTCCAACTGACCCTGTATTTCTACATCATCTCCTTAATGTTCAAATTCTGGAGTAGAAAAAAACTGATTGGTCATGCCAGGGAGATTCCATTCAGTGGGGAACTCCTTCCAAAGGGCAAGATATTCAACTGCTAAATGAGAGAGGAGGCAATTGTTAACATTGGTTACCAAGTAGCTTAGCAGCTACTTGGTATGTCTCATATGCCTAGCTCATCCAGTTTAAAGTAAAGTAATAAATTTCTAATTAATTCCAGTAAACAGAATAAGAATGTATAAGCTTTCTGGATCATGTCACTCACAATGTGGTAGGTTTCCACAGGTTAACCAACCAGATGAGACCACTCAGAAATTACCACTAGGTAAAGCAAGGTGCACAGAAGTAGGTGAGATGAACAAAGCCTGTGGTTAGTTGCCCTCCAATGCTTGTGTCAAAGTCAAATTTGCCCAACCTTGATAGGAGCCAACATGTCTCAAAACTCCTGCCAGAACAGACTATGATGACAGTGCATACACCAACAGCTGTCACCATGACGACAGGACTAACACTGTTCAAGCAGAGAAGATGCCATTTACCTGACACAGTTTAATCAATATGTAATATAAGCCTCTTGCCAGCTCCCAGGTAGTCTACTTGAAAAAATTTCCACAGACTCCAAAGGGCAAAGATACATAGAGAACTAGAATTCATAAAGAGGTAAAAATAAGGAGAATAAAATTAACTGTATTTTACATTATAGTCTTTTATTCATTCAATATATGCTTCTATTCAAACGGCCCTGAAGACTTTTGCTTTTATGATGATAGGACAAAGATGTCTCTACTTTCTTTCAATAAGTCAACAAAACAACAAAGAGTTTCAAAATAGATATACCATATATATATATATATATATATATACACACACACACACACACACACATATATATATATATATATATATATATATATATATATATGATTTGATCTAAAGGCCTAACCTACAACACAAGCAGTAAGTGAGAAAAGAAATGGTGAAAGATGTTAGAAAAATGAAAATGGTCAAAACTCAATGTCTACAGAGGCACTATCAACAAGAGGCAAGCTACAGGGCTCCAGAAAAAGTCAGGAACTGGAGGCATCAACTATTGTGAAGGTAGGGTGACTTCGCAAAACAGAAAACAGAAAAATTGAAAGTCTGTATAAGCAGCAGTCAGATCCCAGGGTGCCTCACTCTCCTTGGAGGAGCTAGAAGATATTAATACATTATTAATAAACATGGTGTCAAGGAAGCAAAAAACTTATACACAAGGGCACTGAAGAAAGAGTGAAAACAGGGATAGGAAGTAAAAATCTGCATGCTAGAGAGTGAGACCTTCCACTTCCCTCACCCTACAGGTCCAGAACTCCAATAGCCAAGCCGAGATTCCCAAAGCAGAAGACTGAAAGGCCATTCTCTAGAAAAATTAAACCATCATCTGAGAAAAGACCTACAGATACTACTATCAATATTTGCAATGAGAATGCTAACAGGCTACCAAGTATCCCACAGGGAAGCAAGCCTGCATTCACATAAGACACACACACAGCTTCTAGTGAGCTTCCTAGTGTCTCACCTCTTACATGAACAAAAGCCAAGGATCAACATACATCTAAAGAAAGCCCACCCCACCCAAGAAAAATGATTAAAAACAAAGTAAAAAAAAAAAATCAGTGAAAACAGGAACAACACAGGTAACAGAAGAAAATTTCAAATAAGTAGTATTTAATATCTTTATTGAGTTAAGATCTTGTGTTCATTTAATAAAAACACAATAATATTAAAAACAATCAGGAAGCAAGAAATGGGGAAACAAGGACAAAAATTCAATGAAAGGATTTTGTTCTTTCCCAGAAAGAACAAAAATCAAATAGGTAGACATTAGATAAAAAAGACTAAAGTAATTAGAAAAATCAATGTAAGAAATCCAATATCCAAATTAATAGGCACTCAAGAAAAAGAGAAAAAGGAAAAAAGTAGGGAGAAAATTTTTAAGAAAAATAATATAAGAAAACATGTTATCACTCAATCATAGAATTTCTTAAAAGGCATACACTCATCACAATGAATGAAAAACAGCTCATACCACAGTAATTCAGCAAAAGATGTGGTGAATACATACATGAATAAGAGATAAAAATTTTTCATAGAGAAAACTGACCAAAACATATAAACAATCAAGGAAAATGGTGTTAGACATCTCAAATGTAGCAGTGAAAACCAGAGGACAATGAAGAAATATCATCAAAATCCTTTGCAAACTAGAATTCTATACCCAGAAACCACCACTGAACTATAAGACAAGAATAAAAGCATTTTTATAGCCTCAAAGTCTGAGGGACAGAAAACTGCAAGATTTATATTTTAAGCCTTCTGAATGTAGCACTATTTGCCTTATTACTTTATTTTATTTTGAACTATATACTTTGGAAATATTTTCAACTATTACTTCAATTAGGTCTGCAGGCACAAGAGTACATTTTATATCCTTGGTAATTATGAATAGGATACACCCTTGGTTACCACACACTCCTTTAAATAAAATATAAAATAATGGTATTAACAACCCCATAAAATAATAATCTTTATTTTTATATAACAATATGCTTAAGAAATGCTTTTGAAACAATCACAAAATAAGACAGATATTATCCCTTTCTTAAAGATAAGAAAACTGGGGCTTAAAGAGATAAGTAACTTTCCAAAGGTATCCCAGCCGACATAAGGCAGTACCAGAACTCAAAGTTAAGTCTAATGACATGTTCAGGATTCTTCTCAGGATGCTACAGGTAAGAATCCTCCGTATAATCAACACATAGCTTTATGTTGCAACTTCTCATTCTCCATTATGCATGTGGGGGAAGGGAATTGTTTTCTCTGAAGCCACTAAAAGCTCTCTATTATTCCTTTCCTTCATGCTAATTACAACCTAGCTATTTATTTCATCATAAGCACCTCAGCACTGTAGCTCCTTCTTCTTTAGTCGGTCCTTAAATAACTATAGTACAGGTCCAAAAATAAACACTGATTTAGGCACTTAGAGAAATGGCAAAAGGCAAATCCTAACTTACTCACTAGAAGTTTCTCAATTATTTTTCTCAACCTAAGGAGTAAGAAAGTAGGTAAATAAACAAAAGTGACTTCTTCATCTTCTCGTATGCTACATGCAGCAGGAAAGCACCTGATATATGTTCATATGTGATGTGCACTGATGTTCTTAATGATCCCTCTGGCTCATTATCATAAGAAATGGAACTCCGGTTTACAATCAGCTATTAGCAGTTATTTACACCATAAAGGGATATTCAAAGATAATTATCCCCTTTTCTACTCTTGCCCCTAAAATGTATTAATCAAAAAAATAATTTGATTAGCAATTTAATAATAATTAAAATAATTATTATAATAAATTAAATAATTTGTAATGTAAAAATTAAATAATTATTATAATAAATTTAAATAATTTGTAATGCTTCAAAATTTAGAACCTAATACACACACATACACACATACACACAACTCCCCTTTCCCCTCCTGTTTCCAAAGCAAAGACAGAGATAAGATTGACAGACACACATACACTCACAGTCACATACCACCAGCCACTTGCACATACATACACAGTCCATGACCTTGGACTCATATCCCTTCTCAACTTCACCCTCTGTTAGAGTTGCGGACCTGAATGAGCAGTGGGTGAAGAAGTCACAGTCTTCAATGGAAAAACCCACCTGCACTCTAGGTGACGTGTGTTTTGAGCAATAAAAAGATATAGCATGATAACAATCTAGCCACTTACTCCACAGTATCGGTCGCCATTAAATATCTGAGGTGGCAGGGGGTTGCCCTGAGCAGGTTTTTTTTCCGGGGGGACATTTTTGTACATCCATTGCCTCTGTTCTTCTGACATTGTGATATCCACCTCCTCAAACTCTATCTTGTTGGCTTCCAGAAATCTAACCACATCCTGCTGCTTCTTCTTTATCTACAGAGAAAAGACAAACAAGTAGATATGCTTATGTGAAATAATATGTATATACTTCCAAACTGAACTAGATTTGATTTATGATTCTCAAGAAGTCATTGATACAAAAAAAGAGGTGATTTATGTAAGCGTCATGCACTGCCCGCTCACTAGATCTCCAGTGGAGGACTAAGCCAGTCCCAACACAGTCGTTTCTTTGATGTTGCTGTTGTTGATATGAGATGGGGTCTCTCTATGTTGCCCAGGCTGACCTCAAATTCCTGGGGTTAAGCGATCTACCCACCTTGGCCTCCCAAAGTGCTGGGATTACAGGTGTGAGTCACTGTACCTGGCCACTAACACAGTTGTTTCTTCAACCTAGTCTCCCCACAACTCTGGAGCACAATTCAGGTGGCTTGCAAAGAATAGGAGATGAGAGATTCATGTAGTTCTCAGTGGGCCATAACCACTCCCCATTTCACCCAACCCCACCCTCACCCTTGCAAGAAGTTGACATTTATAGTCATAAAAGCTCCCTTTGCCAAAAACCATCTGAAAACCATGTACAGCCTATCTGGGATGTCGACATTTCATTGATTCATGACAGCAGCAACATTTTTATTCCCCTCAGCAGGCTTCTTCAGAAATTCCACAGCTGTAGCCACTATCATGAAAGCATCCTTTCATCAATTCACAAGAGAAAAATGTTCTCCACTTCTAAGGTGAGAATAAACAACAAATATCATTTTACTTTGAACTGTGTTTCTTAACCCTTTTCATTCCTCTGATCTCTCACTTTTCCTTCTTCAGTCACTAGGGGTCAGATGTGCTCTTGAGAAATTGCAAATAAATCTCCGTAAAGTTTTCAAAATGTTGCCTACCTTCTTAAGAGTACATAGTAACTAATTGAGATGGAATGACAACACCGTAGTCTCCCATTATCCATGGAGGATACATTCCAAGACCCCCAGCAGACACCTGAAATGGTAGATAGTGCCAAACCCCTATATACGCTGTTTTTTTCAATCTGATGCCTGGGAGGCACATCCAGGTTTGTGTTTTAAAGAGATCACTTTAATACTATGCAGCTTAAAAAGAAAAAAAGAGAAGATTTGTGTATACTGTTAACATTGTTATGAAAAGATCTCCAAGGCATATAAGTTAAAAAAAAAACAAGGAGCAGAACTCTATGTAGACTAAGCTCACGTAAAAACAAATGGAGAAAAATAAGAACACATTTATATTTGCTTGTATTTATATTGTTTTAAAAAAAATTGTTGAAGGTCATGTAAGAAACTAACGAAAGTTGTTATCCAAGGGCTGGGGGAGAAGGAATTCGGTAAGGAAACAAAGTGGGAGCAAGAGTTTTACTTTAAAATGTTTTGAACATTATAAGAAATGTGTTAATATTCAAAAAAGTAAACACAAGAAACGTATTTTAATGAGAGAGAGAGGTGGCACCCTAGCTTCCACAGAGCAGCTTGGAGGATGGCTGTACACACCACAGACATGCCCTGTTTAATACAAATCACATTTTCCCACTGTGACATGAAGCAGAACTCAAAGCATTTTGTTGAGTCACTGGCCTCCATGATTCACTTATAAGAAAGGGCAGATGATTAAAAAGAAGAAATGAAAAAACAGCTAAAATCTTAGAAAATTAGCTAGTACTACAGCAAATCACCCAAATAACAAGGTAGGAGAAACTTAACCCAGAAAAGGAAGTTTTCAAGTGGATGTTTGTGACATTAGCATCAGGAAGGAAGATGTGTCACACTACCACCGGCTGTTTGTAAGGTCTGCAGAGGTGAACACGGCCTGGAACTGGAAGCACCCACACTAGTGTGGCGGGGGCAGGCAGTTCAGGAAGCAGGAACTTAGAGGAACACATTGACCTACTGGTTGGGGCCCAGGTAAGAGGCTTCCCATGTGGCAACAGGCAACAGGAAGCCATTAAGGACACTTCATGGGCTGGGCTTAATTCCAGAATCCAAATAACCATAACATACACAATCATTTCTTTCACACAATGAATTTCTTATTCTCCCCACGTTTCAACTCTTCTAAAATGAAATGCATCTTATAATCAATACCAAAAGGAATTTGCTAAGCAAATGGAAGAGAAGTAAATTTTGGGCCCACAGACACTGCTTTCATCTATGTCACTTTATCCATGGGTGGAAGGTACCTGCACCTCTCTTGTTCATTTTTATTTAAACACCCTTGGAAGCAAAACAATGGTAGTTATTTACCCAGTAACCAATCTCCCTTTCTTTCTAAATACAGAAGCCTGGTTTTACTTAGAAAAGCAATGGGCTCAGCTACAAAATCATGTTTACCCAAAGACCTCTATTGTTAGAAGTAATCACATGACACAGTTCTGACCAATGTGATGTGAGTCAGACAGTCCTTGGGAAAGCTTCGCTTAAATGAATGAAAACCCAAAGCAGGCTTTTGCCCTTTAGTCTCCATCCTGGCAGAAATGCAGATATTGTGCTTGGAGGTGCAGAAACCACTTCACAAATTTGAAAACAAACACCATAAATATGTGAAAATACCAAATGCTAAGGATGGTCAAGCAGAAAGACAGTAGCCTGGGTCCTTAATGACATTTTGTAGCTGCCACCCCTGTCTCTTCATGCATAGCCTATTCTATGCCTTTCTGTATTAGACAAATAAACCCTTAGTAAGTTAAGCCACTCTTCATCTAGTTTTCTATAGCTTGCACCCAAATGCAATTTTTAATTGATACTTAAAATGACTTCAGAAATATTGTATTATGAAAAAGCACTGAAAATAAAAGCTATTACTGCACAGTACAGGCTGGCAATAAAGGCTGTTAAGACATAAACTTAATATATGTGAGTGAATACTCGTTACTGAATAAACAGAGGAATTTTCTTAATCTACTCCACAGAGCAACAACCAACATGTTGGAACTAAAACAGGCCGGTGATCTAAAGGGATGAAGGGTGCATTTCACCTTAACATTCAAACACTACTACACACCATACAAAGCAATTAAAAGGGAACACAGAATCTCTTGCATTAGATTGTGGGTAGACAAAATATGTACAAGGCCCAAATCCAACCCACTGACCATTTTATATGGCCTGCAGCCAAAAATGGTCTTTATATTTTTAAATAGTTGGGAGAAAAAAATAAAAATAATAATAGTATTCCATGACATGTAAAAGTTATATGAACTATAAACAATAGTGTCCATAAACAAAGCTGTATGGGAACACAGCAACACCCATCCACTCACATATTGTCTATGGCCGCTTTCTCCCTACAATGTTAGAATTGAGAAGTTGCAACAAAGACTGTGTGGTCCCCCAATGCTTAAAATATTGACTAGCTGCCCTGTATAGGAAAAGCTTGCCAACCTTTGGGCTAGATCACAGATATTCATTTCTGGGTAAAAGTTCCCTTTCTCAGTGAGCCCTCCTTTGAACACCTGATTTTATACTTTTACCAGCTACCCAAGAACTCTCTACTCCCCATTCACTGCTGTATTTTTCACCACAACACTTGGCATCTGACAGACTGTATAACTTATGTATTTTTTTGTCCATCTCTGCTATTAGGATATAAATCCCCCAGCTGGGCATGGTGGCTCACTCCTAAAACCCCAGCACATTGGGAGGGTGAGGTGGGTGGATCACCCTGAGGTCAGAAGTTCGAGACCAGCCTGACCAACACGGTGAAACCCTATCTCTACTAAACATGCACAAATTAGCCAGGCATGGTGGCGCATGCCTGTAATCCCACCTACTTGGGAGGCTGAGGAAGGAGAATCACTTGAACTCACGAGGTGGAGGTTGCAGTGAGCGGAGATCATACAATTGCACTCCAGCCTGGGCAACAAGAACAAAACTCTGTCTCAAATAAAAAATAAAAAATAAAAAGAATATAAATTCCCCAAGGCTAGGAGATTTATCAGTTTTGTTAAACATTTCTCAATGACTAGGTAAGATGTTCACAGGTAGAAGGGCCTGTGAGATGGGGAGCTTTCCTCCCAAAGAACAGCAGGGCTGATTTGCTCATCCTTGAGGGCTCACCTTGAGTATTAGCTCTTTAGAAAGCCCTGTCTAACCACATTGTTGAAGTTTATTGCCTAAATTTATTAAAATGTTATTTATTTATAGGTCTCTTTGTTTTTGTTCTCACTTTCTCTACAACCTCAGTTCTGGAAGCAGAGGACAGGTGGGAAGGAGGCCTTCAATAAATAGTAACTGAATGGATGATTCAAGAATTATCCCAGTGCTGAATATCAAAGATTTCCAGGTGATGTTCAAGAGAAGCTATTCAAACTAAGTCAGTAATTTATGAACATATGTAACTCACATTTAGCCCAACAGGAATGTGGATCAAATGACAATATTTCTCAATCCTAAAGCAGCACAGTTTTTAAAAGCACTGTGCTTAGGATGCTACATCTAACTGTACATAGCCAAAATAATTCAGAAGAGTCTCTAGACTCTAATGTGAAAAAAGACTTTGCTTCTAACTTTGACAATGATTGAAAAAGAAAGTAGTATGTGGTTGCATGTTTAAATAAATTCTATTGTCAGTTAATTTTAATAGTTGCAAGTGTATAACAAAACAAAGTGTTTTATTTTGCTCAAATGGTTTTATTAAATTGTTGATACATTTGCTAATTGATGGCAATTGAGAATTACATAGATGTGTTGGTATTTCCCTGAATCTGCTTTCCATTACTACCATAGTACTCTATTACCCTCAACCACTTCCCCCAACTAACTTCTGGAGCTCTGAAAAAACTCCTCCCTTAGATGTGCTTTGAAGCAGCCTTCTTGGCCACTGAATGGATAAGCCTTTACCCTTCTGACTGCAGATCTGTGAATCTGCTGAGGACCCCAGTGCCTGCACCCAAGACCTGGTGACCCTCACCAACAGGACGCTGGGCAGTCAGCTGCAGAGTCAAGCTGCGGAGTCTCCTGACTCCATGTGAACACTCAGTGACCCGTGGAAATCTTAGTGAAGACACTGGGTGC